CAATATTTACATTCATGGTGTGAGTTTGCCTGCAAGCTAATTTTATGGGACAAGACTCAGGGAGCAGATGGCAGAAAGATCGATCTCTGAGGGAATCTGTGATTCTGTGAGCGACTCTATTTACCTGCATGCTTTGCCAGATTTGGGGGTAAAAGTTGCTCTCTTTTTTTAATAAAAATTCAATATTTACATTCATGGTATGTTGTGAGTTAATTTTGCAAGTTTGCTTGCAAGCTAATTTTATGGGACAGACTCAGGTTGCAGATGGCAGAAAGATAGATCACTGAATGATTCTGTGAGCAACTCAATCGGCCTGCTCGCTTTGCCTGATTTTGGGAAAAGGTTGCTCTCTTTTTTTTAATAAAAAATCAATATTTACATTCATGGTATGTTGTGAGTTAATTTTGCAAGTTTGCCTGCAAGCTAATTTTATGGGACAGGCTCAGGTTGCAGATGGCAGAAAGATTGATCACTGAATGATTCTGTGAGCAACTCCATCGGCCTGCCTGCTTTGCCAGATTTGGGGGTAGAAGTTGCTCTCTTTTTTTATAAAAATTCAATATTTACATTCATGGTGTGTTGTGAGTTAATTTTGCGAGTTTGCCTGCAAACTAATTTTATGGGACAAGACTCAGGTTGCAGATGGCAGAAAGATAGATCACTGAATGATTCTGCGATCAACTCAATCGGCCTGCTCGCTTTGCCAGATTTTGGGGAAAGGTTGCTCTCTTTTTTTTAATAAAAATTCAATATTTACATACATGGTATGTTGTGAGTTAATTTTGCGAGTTTGCCTGCAAGCTAATTTTATGTGACAAGACTCAGGTAGCAGATAGCAGAAAGATAGATCTCTGAGGGAATCTGTGATTCTGCGAGCGACTCTTATCGGCCCGCCTGGGCCTGATTTTGGGGTCAAAATTGCTCTTTTTTTTTGTTTTTTCAATAAAAAAACAAATATCCATATTGACATACAAGCCGGGCCCGGCCAATCACGGGACCCCCCCAAGCCGCCACCACCCCACAAAATTAGGCCACGCCCACCGAACCGGCAGTTAAGGGATTTAAATCTCTTCCTCCCCCCTGCCCACTTCCCGGCGTTACCTTCAGGGCGATCCAGGTCAGCTTGCAAGACAGGGAGAGACAGGTGGTTAGTTTTGGGCGGGAAGGGACGGGACGTGGTGGGGGGGGCTACTTGGAAGTGTGTTTGGGAAGGTTGCGCAACCGTAAATCCCCGTCGGCGCTTGTACCTGCTTGTACTTCCGGTAGCACCGCTGGATGACCGCCGCCGCCAGCTCCTGCTGTTCCTTCAACCGACGGCCCTGTGGGAGGGGGGGGGTAGAAAACCGACAGAGCCGGAGACCGTGGGGAGGGGGTTTTCCCCTCCCCGTCCTCCCAAACCCAGGCGGTCCTACATGCCCCCCGCCTCCTGGCATCTCCGCCAAAGCAACGGGCGTCACCTTGTACTTGCGGAAGGCCGTCTGGATGACCCGGGCGGCCTCGTAGAGCTCCCGCTGCTCGTGGTCGGAGAGCGTGAGCAAGGCAAAGTCGCTCTCCATCTTGCCGTTGCCCGAGGCGTTGAGGAACTCGGCCCAGCTGGCGGCCGTGGGCGGCGGAGGGAGGCGCTCCAAGGGCAGGTCCGCCAAGGGGCTGAGGCAGGG